CATTCAACTTTTAATCCTTTGATCTCTAACTTCATTATTTTTGGTTCTTCAATGGTCAGTTGGACTAGTCTTTGATGAGCCCCCTCCCCCCAGCGACTGGACTTGTATAGGAGGTTGGCTACTTGATTTTCTTTTTGGGTAATGTCCTCAATTTTGAAGTTTGCAAACTTCTATAATTCTATCTTTAGTTTACTCTAGTATCTAATAATCATGTCATCCATGACTTTGAATTCTCTGTTTACTTGGTTCATGACCAACTGTAAATCAGACTTTAACATGAGATATCGGGCGCCCATCTCATAAGCAAAGTGCAGCCCGTCAATTATAGCATCTTACTCAACTTTTTTGTTGGTGAATTCAAACTCAATTTCAATCAAGTGAGACATATGTTCTTCAGTTGGACTGGTCAGAGCGAGACCTTATTCTGCCCTTGTTTGGCTTGAAGCTCTGTCAATGTGTAACAGTCAGGTCTAGCTATTAGTAGTTGCTTCTTAGCCTAACTCACCTTGCTAAAAGAAAACTACCATGAAGTTCATTATCACTTGTGCTTTGATTACAGTTTGAGGCAAATAGAAGATCTCAAACTCGCTAAGCTCCATCACCCACTTGAGAAACCGATCAAAATTTCTCGGCTAAGTAAGAATAGACTGGAGAGAGTGGTCAGAGATGACCCAAACTAGATGAGTTTGAAAATCTGTCCAGAGCCTGCGAGCAAAAATAATAAGAGCAAATTTTTTCTTCACCATGATGGGTACTTGATCTAGGCCCCTTGGAGAACCTAAATGGTTTAGTAGACCTTGAACTGCTTCCAAACTCGTCTTGGACTAAAAGAGAGTTGATGGCTTCAGGCCCAACTACCAAGTATAGAGAGAGCACCTTGCTTAGTTTTGGAATCTAAAGAAGTGGTGTTGACGCTAAAGAATCCTTCAACTTTTCTGAATGCTTGTTCACATTCATCTGAGCACTCGAAGTTTTTTTCTTTCCTTAGTGTATTGAAGAATGCTGCAAATTTATCGTCAGATTTGGAGATGACGGGCTTAGACCTGCGATCTGACCTTTTAGCTTCTGCCCTTCCTTAATTTTTGAGGGAAGACATGTCCAACAACGCCAATACATTTTTTGGTTTGACCTTTATTCCTCTCTGGGGTTAAGAGGTAGCCAAGGAATTTTCTTGTTGATGCTCCAAAGGTGCCTTTGACTGGATTTAGTCTCATGTTATATTTTCTAAGGGTTTAAAATGTTTCTTTTAGATCATGTATGTGTTGTTTGACCATTTTACTTTTAACTAACACATTATTTTTGTACACTTCAAAGTTTGTTTTCTTTTGTTTAGAAAATATTATATCTATGAGTCGCTAGTAAGTAGCCCCAGTATTCTTAAGCCCAAAGAGCATAACATTATAATAAAGCACTCCTTCATTGGTTTTGAAACTTATCTTCTCTGCACCAGCTGAGTGTATCTTTATCTAGTGGTATATGGAGGAGTGCAGGAAGCTCATCACTGATTGAATAAACACTAAGTCCACCAGTGTGTCGATCCTTGGTGATGAATATCAATCCTTTGGGCAAGTAGATTTTAGGTTAGTGAAGTCGACACTCATCCTTCACTTGACGTTCGCTTGCTGCACCATCACCCCGTTTCATACCCAAGTTGAATACTATGCTTGTTTGATGCATCTGGCCTCCAACAACTTTTTCTTCTCATCGCCTATCAGTTCAATTAAGGTAACAATTGATGACCTCATCTTTTATTTCATCAGTTGGGCTACTGGGTTGGCGTTTAGTAAGTAGCAAGCAATGTCTTTCCCAACATCTCTGCAGCTGGTCAAGAAAAAAATGTTTCTATGCTCTCAGAGGTTATGGATTAGCACATCTTTTGACCCCATATCACAAACTTCATTTATTAGAAAAAAATTACCAGACTCTCCATCTATTATAGGAATTGGAGGGTGGTCTCGCTAGTTATGTGGCCCCTTTCATCCAAGTTGGTAGGGTCAAGTGTCTTCTGCTCAATTTTGTTGACCACTCAGAGACAACTTGTTCTAGATTTCTCTATGTGAGCTTGGATGGTTATCACCTGAAAATTTCACCGCTATATAGTATGTCAAATTTATAGCTTTGAAGCAATTGAGTAAGTTTCGATCAAAGATCTCATTGTAATTTGATGGTGATTCAACCACCATAAAAGCTTCAATGTATGTGAAATCTTTCACCTTCCTCCTAGGTAGCTGTCAAGGTGAATATTCATAAGGCTTCCTTTCTCTCATAGAATAAGCCATAAAACGAGTTATCATGCACAGTCAATCGGTCATATTTGAATCCCAACTTGTTGAATACTGACTTGAACAAAATTTTTATCGAGCTCCCAGTGTCAACCAGAATACTACTGACCTAGTAGTTACTTAACAAGGTAGTAACTATAATGGTGCCATTATAAGGATTCCCTTTGAGGCCATATCTGCATTGGTGAATGCAATAAATGGAGGAGTGTTGTGTTTGGAGTGAAAGTGGTTGCACATAGTTCACCCAACTGAAGCCTCTTCAAATTGGCCCATCAGAATGAATTTGACCTGCTCTAAAGATTATTGATACCACCCTAGTGATGTGAATAGCAGTTTCTCAGACCGATTCACTTGAAATTTTCTTGAATGGAGCCTTCATTTACCTCAGATCATTGCACTTGGTGTCATAAACTCTTTGAGCTTTCAAACTCCAATTAGCTATTTGACTAGGCTCCGAAGGTGTCGACATTCCTCTATATTGTGGCCGGGGTCTTTATGTTACACTCACTATTTCTTAGTATCCCAGAGAGAAGCTTGGTTTTCATTGGTGGAGCCTTCATGTAAAACTCATTATTTTGGATGGCCTTAACTAGCTTGGCCAATGAGAATCTTAGTGGAGTCATCTTTGGTGCTTGGTAATCGTGTAGTTGGTGATCATTATAATGAGTCGACCACTGTTCAGGATACTGAGCCCAACCTCCTCATCAATAACTTCTTTCAACCCCCTTGTTGTCTCGAGGCACTCGATTGTCATCGTATTGTCATTGATAAAAGGATGCGAGTTTTCCCTTGGCCTCCATCTATTGCCATGGAGAGCTTTCTTCTGTAGGCAATTAATGGATAATTATGTTATGATAGAAATAAAGGTGAGTTGTATTCCTGGATTAATATGTGATTGTCGGCGAGCTCCAACAACTCAGCTAAGGTCTTTGATTGTTGTAAGCCTAATCGTACCATAATAGTCCTTCTTTCAGCCCTTGAGCTATGGTGGCATGAATTATTGTGGGTTCCAAGTTTCACATTTCTTGCATCTCTTTTTGAAATTGAGTGATGATTGAGCAGAGGCTCTCATTCTGTCACTGCCTTAACCATAATAGAGCCTATGAACTTTTTGAGGGCTTTTGGGCACTCGTAAACTGCACCTCAAACATCCACTTGATGTTTGTAAAAGACGCGACAACTCCGACCTACAATCCATTGAACCACTTGAGTACTAACTCCCTGATTGTGGTGAAGAAGAGATGGAGCTTCAGCACATCAGTAATCTTGAGGATGCACACTATCAACTCAAAGGAGATAATGTAGTCTGAAGATGAGTTCATCCCTTATAGGATTCCATCACCAATATCTTGAACCTTTCTGAAGGCTCAACATCAAAGGTATGCCGAGAGAAAGCAATCTCATCTTATCATGACACTTCAGTATGTCTTGACCAATGTTTATCTATTGGTGGCGACTAAGCACTATTTGAATACTAGGAGTGTCAATGCCTTTCATGGGCCTGGAAATCCCTTTGGCTGTTGGGCACCAAGCATTCCCCTTTCATTTGTTGTATAAACTCCCTACTGCACTTTATGTTGGTGGTGTCTCTATTGTGGGTTTCTTTTTTGTGTGATACTCATGTTCTTTTGTTGTCATGTTCCATGCCCACCACACCTTTTAGGATGAATTCAAATTTGTCCTTGATTCAAACATAAAAAATAGAGCATAAGATAGAAGAGAGAGAGAGATGAACATGTAATGAACAATAATTTGTCACAAGTGTGTAACCCTTCATTCACATATGATCCCCTATTTATAGAGAAATTAGATATAACATGTGAAGTTACATTTATATCCCTGCTTTAGTTGAGAATTTACAGATTATTCTATATATTTTAAGTATGTGAGCCCAGAGTCTGATTATTCTCTGGCTCAGTTGAGTGGACTGGCAAGACCTTATTAGGTTCTGCTGATCGGCTAGGCTTTGGTTGATGTCGATGGTTGGTTATGCTAATGAGGCATGGTTAGGCATAACTGGTTAATCGGGTTTGATAGAAATTGTCGATCGACTAATCTATTACTGACAAGGCGTCGGCAGGGTTGATTTGATCGACTAAGTATTATCGATCGGTTGGTTGGGCTAACTGTCGATCCTCAATTCTTGATGAAGAGTTTCTGTTGGCACAACGAATCTAAGCTATCAGATAGACAATGAATCACTTTAATCAAATAGGTAGTTGCTCTTAGATGAAGAGATCCTCAGAGAGGGTTAAGACTTGTTGCCCTATTAGTTCTTGATGACATTTAGGGAGACTGTTGGATGTCTCTGGTATAACTACACAACCCGAGGGGTTAACTCCTCACTGGGGTTGGTTTCATTGTGATGAATGATTTGGATAATCCCGTGCTTCGCTTTTGGTCGAGCCGCTCGGGTTCTATCAATTCAATTGCCTTAGTGGGTCTTGACCTTGATACATTCGGTCGGACAACTAGGCCTCTAGATCTTTTGCTAGTGGGCCCTCCTCGAAATTCATATTATCACAACAATTTTATTATTTAAAAACTAGCATCCAAATGCTTTTCTTATATCATAAACCAATGCATTAATGGTGGCCATAATTAAATCAATGAGAATTTGATTAAACTGAAAATATTGAGGGGAGTTTTATCATGTATTTTAAATTTTGACTGAAATTTTTCTTTAAAAAAAATGGGATTGGAAGGTCCGCTCTAAATAATAATATTTCGACTTTCGAGGGACTCCCTCCGCCCGCTCTACGCATGAATCTGATCCGGGTCCCTAGCCGCCTACCTTTCAGTTCTCCAAATCTGAAGTCCTATCGGCGTTGATCGGCGGTGATCGTCGGCGAGAGATTAAAAGATAGGTTTAACGGCTATTTAGAGAAAGCAAGCAATACATTGCCTGCTTAACTAGAAACCAAAGATGGCTTCAAAGGAAACATACCGCACCGAGCTCCGCTCCGCCGTTCACCAACTAGGCGACCGCTGCCTCTACTCCGCCGCTAAATGGTACATCTTTCACATTCCCTGACTTCATCTCTCTCAACCCTTCACTCAAACTCTAATTTCTTTCTTGACAGGGCTGCAGAGCTCCTCGTCAGCCTCGAACCGGACACCTCCACTTCTTCCACACTCCCTATCTCTTCCTCCACTTCTTCCACACTCCCTCTCTCTTCTCTTTCCTCTCGCAACTTTCCCTCTGCTTCCTCCTCTTCCCGCTCTCTCTCCGCCCCGTACGTCCGCCACTCCGACGGCTCCTCCCTCCGCCGCCGCCTGCGCTCCGTCGGCAGCGCAGCCGACGCTGCCGCAACGCCCGTTGGGGGCATCTCGTATGTTAGCACGCCGATTCCCGTTGAAGATGGGAGCGAATGTGATAGCGATGTGTATCTTCTCGCAAAGGCGTACTTCGATTGTCGGGAGTTCCGTAGAGCCGCCCATGTGCTCGATAGGCAAACCGGGCGGAAGGCCGTCTTTCTCAGGTGCTATGCGCGCTATCTGGTATGCTTACTGCTTATGAATAAATGCTACTAGGGATTAAGTCTGTATTGAGATTTGATATTACTGTGTAACAATTTTGGTTAGGGATTTGTTTGGGACTTGTTAGATTTTTCAGCTTGCTACTATTATTTGGAGCACGCTGATCCTCTTTTGTTGTTGACCTTTTAAGCTTCTTGAAGTTTGATGTTCGGTTGTTGTGAAAGATTAGAACTTTTCCCTCCGTTGTAATCTTTGTAGTGGGATTTGTGCCGGTTTTTAACAGTGTTGAGCGGGGGTTATGCTGAGAGATAATATTTTTTATGCTAAAGCCTCACCTTCAGTAGTAGCAATGCTTCTTGCAACCATGAAATCCACAAATTTTCAATATTCTTATACTCCATGTTATATAAGATGGGAAGCTCATTATGTTTACCATTGTATAGTTAAGAGAAATCAATATGCTTCCTAAAATGTATAAGCCAATGTTACATTTTTCCAATACAGATAATATAGAGCAATGTCGTGAAAACTAGATTGCACAATGAACTGGAAGAAGGAGATGCTCAAGGTTCAATGGTTTGACTGGTCACTAGATGATTGTTACTCAAGCAGTGATGTCATTGCTAGAATTAGAACTGTCTAAAATAACCCTTAATTAGATGTCACATTAATGGTAAATGATAGCAGTATAAAATGTCATAGGCCTTTTACCACAATCACTTTCCTTGTTTGATTCTTTCTTGAATTCTTAGAGCTTTCCATCTAGAATTCCGATTTTCCCTTCTTGATGCTTGTTCCATTTGTTAGAATGACTCACTTGTTTAAGTGAATTAGTAAGTAGTTCATCTATTTCAAGTTCAAGGCTTTGTCCCTGGTGAAAGCTTGGATGGAAAAATGTGTGTGGTGATCTACATCTTTTATGTTGCACATCTGATCTATAAGTTCCAAAGGATGATGAGTTTTCAAATGTGTGCTTCTAGTATGAAGTGTGTGTCTTTGAGGATTAGTTTAAGCTTGACTTGTACTTCCCTTTGGTCTTGGAATTGGTCAATCTCTTGAAATGCTAGCTTGCTCAAGTCTTGTCGAACTCTATGACAACCATCATTACCTTCATTCTTCTTCTGAATGTGGTTGATTTGGTTCACTAACTATTCACGATAAAGACATTTAGAGATTGTTGCAGCTTGTATTGACTTTCATTTAAAAGAAACTATTGGTGAATAAGATAAATAACTGGAATAAGTGCTTTTTTTTTTTTTTTGCTAACACCTACCATCCCTGTTAAGATGTTGGAAGTGAAGTGTCAGTTCGTAATGAGTCGAGTCTAAGGAGAACATTCTAGTGGGTTTGAAGGCACTCACCTTGATTAATGAAGTATCTTACTTTGAGCAACATGAAACTATATTTCTCTTATAATTCAACTTTATTGTATAATTCTTTTATTTTAAATTACATGTTTTTTACTTCTTACTATTTTGTATTTGTTTTGTTTTTCTTTGTAGTCGACTCTGTTTCTTATGAAATTCCTAATGATAATGTAGTCCTACAATTTTTTTTGAAGAAAAATCAAGAAGAAGGGGAGGTTCAAGAATATAGTGAGCTCTTCAGAGGGTGTCATTAGGTGATCTTTAAGGATGAGGTTGGTTCCCAACAAGGAGAGGACGAGTCAACTGAGGGCATCATACGGTTCCTATAAAAGTGCCATATTATTTTGATGAGGATTTGAAGTTGTGGATGATTGACTGGGGGGTTTGAAGACACCCACCTTGATTAATGAATTATCTTGCTTGGAGCAAAATGAAACTATATTTCTCTTATAATTCAACTTTATTGTATAGTTCTTTTATTTTAAATTACATGTTTTTTTCTTCTTATTATTTTGTATTTGTTTTGTTTTTGTTGTAGTCCACCCTGCTGCTTATGTAATTCCTAATGATAATGTAGTCTTACATTTTTTTGAAGAGAAATCAAGAAGAAGGGGAGGTTCAAAAATATAGTGAGCTGTTCAGAGGGTGCTATTAAGTGCTCTTTAAGGATGAGTTTGGTTCGCAACAAGGAGAGGACGAGTCACCTGAGGGCATCCCGTGGTCTCTACAAATTTGCCATATTATTTTGATGAGGATTTGAAGATGTGGATGATTGACTATAGTATTTACAAGTGCTCTAGTGGTATCCAAAGGCGGTATTCGACCTAGGACCACCTTGTATTTTCCAAGGCCCTCTATCAAGAGGATGTCCCTTATATGAGGAAGATTGAATTGCTAGCAATGATGATGAGGGTCAAGATTAGTCAACGGAAGTATGCAAGCTCATTGGTGTATGAGTACGTGGACCAATTCAGCACAATTGAGAAGCTAATGCATTAAGACATAACATTAGATGTGACTACTGAAGAGTGCAATGTTGTCTTCTCATTATTGAAACGTGAGAAGCCTACCTTAGAAATGAGTAAGGCTAAGCTGGAGGAGCCCTAAACCAAGAAGACGACTTTTTTTGAGTTCATGAAGTCGATTAGGGTGAACCCGAAGTTTGTGAAGGTTCTTGTTATGCAATAACAACACGTCGTTCAATTTGGCCTTTAACCATCTAGTATCTAAATGAATAATTCTCGAGTCATTGTATAACCTCATTCTATAAAATGATTGTTGAAGAGGAAGACTCGAATGAGGAGATTGCTTTCTGATATACTTCTCCAACCCCTATCCCCGCCCTCACTTTTTAGCCGTTCGCTCTTGTAAACATTATTGTGTTAAGGAAATGAAAATTATTTATTCATGCCGTAATTCCTCTTTTTTCTCTTCTTTTTAATGCTATTGAGCCAGTTATTGCCATTAAGAAGCTATGATTTTGGAAGATTAATATGAAGTCTCGTATAATCATTTATGCCGATTTTATTATATGTCCTTGACCAGTAGGCTTTACTGGCCATTTATAATGATTGTTGTGGTAGGCTTTCTGCCCGAATATGATAAATAGATTGTCACTCCTACAAACGAATTACCTTATATACCGGGATTATCATGCTCCCATGGGCTTATTAGTCCATGTTTGTATTTCTTGCTCTCATGAGCTAGATCACTTCATTGTCTGGGGGGATGGGGGGGGGGGCCTGCTTTGTTGTTTTGTTGATTATTGATGTGGCTGGTTTTTCATCGAATAGTGGAAATTGTATTTTGGTTGAAATCGCTAAAGAGGTAAGAAGAGGTGGCACTTCGATTTTCTCATGAACTCCCTATCTGAGGTGGAATTAGGAGAATACAGGGTAGCTCATTGTTCTAGTCGAAGACAACAACTCGGTCATAGTGGCTAAGCTAGACTTTCATATTGAGACATGAACTTGGATGGTGAGTTAAGCGTTTGACATTCTCTCATTTATGTTAGGGAGAGGTCTGACCACAATAGCAACAACTTTTACTAGTTGGACAGGGCGTGTTAGGATTCCAATTGACATAGAGGAGGTAGAGGAATCTGCTCGAGCAGGAATCATTTACCTCTTATGCACCATCGGTTTCTATTTGTGAAAGTTAACAAGCTTGTATATTCATCTGTTTCTAATCTTTGAGGTATATACTTGTTCTTCTATGATGCAAAAGTTGCATTAGATAAAGCCATTTTCATGTGAAATTCATTTTGATTTACATTATTGAGAATGAACTCATTGGAAAATTTTGATATATATAAATCTCTTTACAAGTAACTCAACATGAGAACTTTTGCTTTCAAAAGTAAAAAGAAAAAAAATATAATAAAGTTTGTCAGAAAAGGATGAATTTTTTCTGAGCTAAAGTGAGATGAGTTTCTAGAGGCATGCTTTGTTGATTATTGATGTGGCTGGTTTTTCATCAAATAGTGGAAAATGTATTCTGGTTGAAATCACTAAAAAGGTGAGAGCAGGTGACAGTTTGATTTTATCATGAACTTCCTATCTGAGGTGGAATTAGGAGAATGCAAGTTAGCTCACTATTCTAGTCGAAGACCCCAACTCGGTCATAGTGGCTAAGTTAGACATTCATATTGAGACATGAACGTGGATGGTTATTTAAGCATTCGACAATCTCTCATTTATGTCAGGAAGAGCTCTGACCACAACAACAACTTTTTACCAATTGGGCAGGGTTTGTGTTAGGATTCCACTTGACATAGAGGAGGCAAGGAATGTGCTCCAGCAGGAACCTTTTCTGTGCCATCGATTTCTATTTGTAAAAGTTAACAAGCTTGTATATTCAACTGTTTCTAAATTTTGAAGTATGTAATTATTCTTCTATGATGCAAAAGTTGCATTAGCGAAAGCCATTTTTATCTAAAAATCATTTTGATCCACATTATTGAGAATAAAATCACTTTCTTCGAAAATTTGCATGTATATAAATCTTTTTTTTACAACTAACTCAACATGAGAAGTTTTGCTTTAAAAAGTAAAAAAATATTATAATAAAGTTTGTCAGAAAAGGAAGAATTTATTCTGAGCTAGAGTGAGATGAGTTTTTAGAGCATTAATATTTGATAGTTTGGTATGGCTAGCAAATTGATTAATAGAGTTTTCATTTTTGTTTAACTAGAAAGTTCTTTTAGGTTATTACTCGAATTTTAGAAGGATGCAGTGGTGTCAAAAATCAATTTGATATGCGAATCTGACTCAAAATCTTTGTTAGAGTTGATTTGATTAATTTTTTGGTTGGGTTCAAATCAAAAATCTCAGCCCATTTAATTTTTTTCACGTTACGGATTTGGGTTGACCTATCAACTTAAAAATAACCTGAATTGTCGTTATGCATATGATAATGGGTTATACAAGCTGTGTTTGGGTAAATTGGGTTAAAGAAAAGTCTTCGGGTCAAGCCATTTAGTTGGTTCAATTTCAACTCAAACCCAACCAGACATGTAATCTAATTTGACATGCCTAGGAATGGGTGACTTCATTATGCCTTGTCCCTTGTTCAATTAAGGGTCTCAGATGATCTCCAAGGCATAGTCCCTCATGACTATTAGTTGTAGTTTGACCAAGATCTCAGTCATCAATCTCTAAATTGTTTGACTTATCCTCTAGTTAGATGGAATTATAATCAAATTTTTTTTTTTCCGTAGTTAACTCCCTAATAGTGCAATTTACTTTTTTCAAAAAAGTCATATAAAAGAAGTGACTTCCTTAGCTAGGATGAGAGTTCACAATCATTTGAATTCTTGATTGTGTTTTGATAACTCATTTTGAGGGTGCGACCTTAGCTCGACTTACAATTAATATTTTTTACAAGCACAATCAACAAATTTGAGGCTTGGGCTTATTTTACAAAAAATAATAATCTTAATTTATTAGATTTAAATGAAAATATGACACTTAATAGTACGCAATGATGAAAAATGATTCATGTGGCCGACCTCACTTAGTGGGATAAAAGCTTCTTGTTGTTGTTGTTGTTGTTGTTATACAATCAACAATTTTTAGGTGAAGATGTTTAGGTCATCCTTGTTTCATGTTTTCGAAACTTTGATTCCCGAGTGTGTTTATAGGCAATACGCTACTCATTTTACTTATTCATTGGTTAGTATGGTCCATCTAAAGCTAACAAGCTTGCCTAGCGGGAATTGTTGAGCTATTGTGTCTAGTTTCTTGAGTATCAATTGCTTCTCTTGAACTTATTTTCTTTTACCTTGACGTTCTAGTGCTTAGTTGTTATTATATTGACTTTTATTAGCTTCATGGCAGACTGTATTTTGAGTTCTTTGATAAGATCAATCACGTTCTTCACTTCTTCATTGACTTTCGGCCATTTTTTTCCTTTATCACACTTATAGAAAATTGCAAACCTTTGGTTGTGTACAGTGTTCTCTATTGGTAGAAGCGCCTCTACTACATGTAATAACATGAAAGTCTTCTGCCCAATGGCTAATGATTGAGTCATTTTGAGTGCTTGCAAGAGTCGATACTTATTTTCTTTTGATGACTTCAACTATTCTTTCACAGTTGGTTAAGATTCTATTTATTTGATGCTTCGGCTTTAACTGTTTTATGATGTTGCATAGAGGCAAACTTGAGACAAATATTTTCTTAAGTAAAAATTTGATGATTTGTTTGAAATTAAGATTCATATTTAGTTATTATGACATGATGCATGGCTTCTCTTCAAAGGATCTCTGTCCAAATAAATTTACAAGTTATCATCACCGTCATTTTCACAAAAGCCTTTGTCTTTATCCATTTTGGTGAAGTAGTCAATCTTTACGATAATAAACTTTTTTACGCCTTTGTAGGCGGGAATGGTTCAAGCAAACATGGATTCAAAATTAGTTGTAAGATTGGAATTGCATAAGTGCAAACTTTTGACATTGAACGTAATGTTTTGAAAATTTTTCAATACCACCTCAAATAGTTGACCAAAGGTACGTGTTTGAGAATTTGATTAGCTAGAACTTGCTTTTCTAAATGACTCTACATTCTATTGATTACACTTCTTCCAAAACTCAAGTGATTTTGTTTTCTCGTATGCATCATAACTAAGAATGGATCTATTAAAGCTTAAAATAATTATTTTTTTATGAGAAAAAGAGACCGTTGAGATTGAAAAATGATAAGGTAATTTCAAGTGAAAATATAAGTACTGAACTTCAATTATTGGTTTTGGATTTTATGATTAAGGGTTGAAAGATGAAAATACAACGAAATATTGTCATAGAATTTGATGGGGACACTTAAAAGTCGAGTAAATTTTTTTTTTATGATTAAACTTTAAGGTCTTAGGATTTGGGTGAATATCCGAGCTACGTCGGTCTAGTGAGTTGACTGTGGAATTGATGAGTTCTTTTTTATCTCGGAGGCCTAGTCTCTCTTGCTCTTGATTGGCGGGGCTCTTGACTGGTGGGTAGATATATCTAGAACTCGGCTGGCAACTCCTCTTTGATTTAGTTCACTTTGAATTTCGTTGACGACCCTATTTCAAATCTGGCATGGCTAGTTCTCTCTACCCTAGTTAGGTGAGTTTGTCCTTGCAGCATTCTAGGTGTATATTTAGTTTATTGCTTTTCTTGTATTTTTGTAGGGAATCTGCAAGATGAAGAAAATGAGAGTAACATATACTTTTAATTTGCTGCAACTGGCTTTAGATTTTTTTATTTTGAGCATCTCTCTTTGGAATTTTATCATAAAGTTTTTTAGTGACTTGCGAGGCTTTTAACTCATCCTCATTATATAGCCTGCAAGTTCTTCTATGGAAAATTGAGTTATGAACATTCTTTTAAACTCAGCGAATAAGATAATTGTCATGATTAACATGCAGGAGAATTATTTGAAGGTCAATTCTTTGAAGGGTGTAAAAAGCAATTGTATTTCAAGGCATTATTTATATCAAGGAGATGACAGATTCAAAAGACTCGACTTGGTCTACTGAATCAATTTGGCCTTTATATGGGTCTGTAGTGAGAAATGTTAAACTTGACGTGTGGCTTTGCTTTAACAATTTTCCTAGAAAAACATCCATTGGTTGATGTTGCCTTCTTTGTACCCTTCCTATAAGTCAATGAGGTGAGGGCGATGAGTCTCTCACGCCAGAATTTCTTCTCCTTGATATTGATTTTGTAGATTTTTTAGATAATTTCACCTTTGGTGTGATTCTTGTTATTTAATCTAGGACCCCTTGCATCGTCCTGTTTTGACTTAAGTAACTCTCTTGTTGTAACAAACTCTTCTTCATGTTAACCGATCTACTTTGTCTTTTTTTTTTTGTTTGGCATCATACTGAGGGACAGAGGTTTTGAGAACTTTGCTATTACAGTTCTTGTTGAATCCGTCAACAGTTCCCCATGGAACTGGAGTGCCTGGCTGGTGCTGCAGCCTCTATGTACTACAACTGAAACTTTAAATAAGTCGGGTTTGTCCGATGATTTAACTATTGGTCCCACACGTTCCCCTTGACCTTAGAGTTCGGTACCCTTGATCTTGGTTGGTAGATACTTCTCAAACATGGTTTGCTAGTTATCCTGGAATGACTTTACTCGAGGACCAAATTTGGACACAAAGCCTATGCTATTTTTCTTCTTGCCCATGTTCTTATGGATCTTCAAGTTATTAAAATATATTCATTTTAGGATAGTTTTCCCCACAGTAAAGCAAGCATTTCGATTTGGAATGCCGTTTTTTTTCTTTTTTTTTTTGGGTTTTTTTTAAACTTTTTTTTTTTTTCAATAGAAATTTCCTAGTGAAACTGTAGATTTGGTTTGTATCACAGATAAAATTTTTTTTCTAATTATTTGCTTATAGCTTTTCCGATATTTGGTGTGTAACAAGCTGCACCATTGTATTCATCTTTATTTGCATTACCCTTCATATCTCTCTGCCTCCCTCTATTGATGCAGTCTTTTTTTGTCCCAGTCCTGAACCCTTATTCTTGAAATATTTAAATGCAAGGATAAGTAAAGTTTCTACCGCTACACCTTCGGCATTTTATATCCTTCAACGGGTTTTAAAATCAGTATCATTTTATGTCACAGGCTGGAGAAAAAAGAAAGGAGGAAGAATTGATAGAACTTGAGGGTTCGTTTGGCAAAATCGAAGCCGTTAACAGTGAATTGGTTTCTCTGGAAAGAGAGTTATCTCACCTTCGAAAGACTGGTGCTATTGATTCTTTCGGCTTATACTTGTACGGCATCACACTGAGGGACAGAGGTTTTGAGAACTTTGCTATTACAGTTCTTGTTGAATCCGTCAACAGTTTCCCATGGAACTGGAGTGCCTGGTTGGAGCTGCAGTCTCTATGTACCACAACTGAAACTTTAAACAAGTTAAATATAAAAAACCACTGGATGAAAGATTTCTTTCTTGCGAGCGCATATCAGGAGCTTAAGATGCACGAAGAAACTCTAAAAAGATGCGAGTGCTTGCAGACTGTCTTTCGCCGCAGCGATCATATACAGGCTCAAATCGCTTCAGCTCTGTATGGTTTGAGAGAGCTTGATGAGGCTGAAGTTGTTTTTGAAGAAATTCTCAGGAATGATCCATATCGTTTGAACACAATGGACATTTACTCCAATCTGCTTTACGCTAAGGAGTGCTTTTCAGCCCTTAGCTTCCTTGCTCACAAGGTTTTTTTAACTGATAAATATCAGCCTGAATCCTGCTGCATCATTGCAAATTATTACAGTTTAAAAGGTCAACATGAAAAAGCTGTCTTGTATTTTAGGAGAGCATTGAGACTTAACAGAAAGTACCTATCAGCTTGGACTCTGATGGGTCATGAGTATGTTGAAATGAAGAACACTCCAGCTGCAATTGATGCTTATAGACGAGCTGTCGACATAAATCCTCGTGATTACCGTGCCTGGTATGGTCTGGGACAAACATATGAAATGATGAGCATGCCATTTTATGCACTTTACTACTTCAAAAGAGCATCCCACTTGCAGCCCAGTGATGCCCGTCTCTGGGTTGCCATGGGCCAGTGTTACCAAAGTGCTCCACTGGAGATGCTGGAAGATGCGATCAAGTGTTTCACAAAAGCTGTAAACTGCAATGAAAGAGAAGGGATTGCACTGCACCAGTTGGCAAAACTTCACAGTAATCTCGGGTACACTGAAAAGGCTGCATATTTCTATAAGAAAGACTTGGAAATGATGGATGCTGAGGATAGGCAGGGTCCAAACATGATTGAAGCTCTCCTTTTCCTCACTAAGTATTTGAAAGCTGAGAAAAGATTTGAAGAAGCTGAGGTTTACTGCACTCGGCTTCTCGACTACAGCGGGCCTGTGAGTCGATATTCTATTTTCATTAGCTTGAACTCCAAGAAATAGAAAAAAAAAAGAAAATAAGTTTCTTATTCTTTATTTTTTCATTCAATGCCATAAGCTTTTCTTTAGTGAAAAAAAAGAAAAAATTAGCATGCCTACTTTTTAACTTTTTCAGGAAAAGGAGATGGCGATGAGTCTTCTACGAGGTTTGAGGATTGCTCAGTCCGGTCCTCCTTCCTCTTCTAATCTCGACCAATTTTCTGCTCCATGAAATTGTATCCGAGCGGTCTTTGCTTTGGAAGATGAAGCGTCGACAGGTTGCTCACGTAACTTAAAATCTGTTTTTCAAATTCAATGCTAAAGATACAATGGCAGCTCTGAAACTGCACATAAATTGTTTCTTCTGAATTTGATACAAAAGATATATTCACAGTTTTTTATCCATATAACCCATCTGCTAACTGAATGCATCTACACTTATGTTTGCAGGAAGCATTGTTCGTCGCACACATAAAATATGAAATTTCTCTCCATAGCGATTCGAGATATGTGGGATTTATTTTGTAAAATTAATAAAGATGCTGAAGCTCAACCAAGCCTGCATGAAACAAAAGCAAGACTTAAAGAATGACCCTGGTTCCAAATTTGTAAGCAGCAGCCACTTGTTTGCTTCCTATTGCCTCTGATCAATAAGGTGGTTATGCCAGAGTTGTGAATTTATGGCCATTGAAACAGTTGAGTTATGGATTTAGTTCATAGTGTGCCTGTAAACTGAAACCTAAGTTAATTTTATATATTTAAACTATTTTTCATAATTCCTGAATTAAATGCTGTGGTATTTTACTGAATCAAAATCTGGTGTTCTTTTTCCTTTCTGAGGCTAAGCTTTTGTAATGGGCTTTGTTTATTCCAATACATACTTTTTCCACATGCAGTATAAGGTAATGAAGAAGAATGGACTTCATTTTATAGTTCTGTTACATTTTATTTTCAATGGTATGATTTAATCTCAGTTTTTTCTCTTTTTGAAGTGTGAAAATCTGCTCAAGCCTATTAGCTGTGATCTTTAATGATCATTGGGGGATTCTGGCAATCAGGAGATCGTTCTTGGTCAGGAAATCTCTACGAACATGATGCTACAAGAATGAAGGTTGGTGATTATGTATGCACAAGAGAACGACTAAGCACTCATGTGCTTATTGGTTGCAGAAGTTTACCAAGCTAGAGCTTATGTTTGCTTAAATTTTGCTGACTAAGAGTTTGTGTTGAAAAGATGAGAGATGTGTATGTTAAGCTTAGAATTGAGCCGGAACAACCTGGATCAGCTGGAGACAACCTAACCGGCCTGCCTGCGAGTTGGTCTTTGCCGCGTGAAGAAGCGGAGCGGGCAAGGCGGGCTGCAGAAGCAGATGAGGAGAGGTTGGGGTTCACTAGGATTATAATTGCATATTCAAAAAGGGGAAATTAAGAGAGTTTGGAGAGAAAATTGGGAAGGAATGTTTTTGCAATATTGTGAGGGGATTCTATTAAGGAGAATAACCTAGGGTTTGCTTTCTTTATGCATGTTTTTGTTGGTTGTTGTGTTTTCTTCTTTAGGTGGTATTCATAGTGACGTTTAGGGTTATGGGAGAGTCGATTAACTCTCAAAAAATAGATAATCATTGTATTTTGATTGTTTGCATTTATTTTTCGTAAGAGCAACTCTTATTTGATTATTTTCCATATAGCGTCATTTCGCTGTTGTTGTTTGCTAATTTTGAGTTTGAAGCGTATCATATTGGTATCAGAGCATAGATCTTGTTGGGATGACAACAAAAAAAGTGAAGGTGTGAAAAGGAGAGGTAGAGCTAATCAGATCAGAATTGGAAGAAATGTTTGCCATTATGGAGGACAGGTTTTTTTTTTTCATTGAAAGTCGAATGGATGATGGATTTTAAAGCATATGAGAAATACAGGAGATGATGAAAAAGTTCATAGAGATGCAATCCAAGGCCGTGTCGATCACTTTAGTTGCAAACCCTAACCAATGGTTGATCAAAGAATACTTGGCTAGGTCAAAAGAGGAATTTGAGCGAGAAGACAATGAGAAAGACATCATCTACCAACAAGAGCATCCCCCTTCCGAGAGGAGGAAGAGTGCAGCTTCCAATGATGGGGGATGGGCTGAAAATTAGAGGAGGGTAGTGTAAGAGGCACGGAAGAGCATAATGGAGGAAATCAGGAGTCGGGTATGCCTTTGACCGGAGGAGGGAGTTTCGCCCTAGATGGGGGGAAATACCAGAGGAAGAGGAAGTTGGGGTGGAGATGCAAGGATTAGAAAATTGAAGATGTTGATCCTCAAAGTGGAGAAGAGGTGGGTTTGTCGGCTGAAGCGATATTTTGAAATAAACGGGTTAACTAAGGAAGAGAAGCTATTGACAACAGGATTATGCTTGGAGACGAAGGCTTTAACATGGTTTCAATGGATGGAGGCAAGATATTTGATGCACTTATGTGAGGAGTTTAAGGATTGCTTGTTGGAGTATTTCAGGGCTATTTAAGATGGAGACCTACATGAGCAATTCTATGTCCTGACTCTAGAAAGGACGATAACGGAATACCAGGAGAAGTTCGAGCTCTTGTCAGGAAAGTTGAGGGAAATTTCTACAGCAGAACTGGAAGGGAACTTCTTGAAAGGTCTAAAGCTTGACATTTGAGCAACCATTCGACCCTTAAGACCGCATGGATTGAGGGGAATGATGGAACTTGCCTAGATGATGGAGGATAAGAAACATGTGAAATAGACTAGTAAAGGCGACAACACCGGAGGATTCTACAAGAGCCAAAGGATAGCCACAACACCAGGGACCCAAATAGTGTCATTTCCGAGAGAGATGATGAAGGAGAAAAATACATGAACACATCTAAAGGGTAATCAAGCACCTCACAGATGCAAAAGTGCGGGATAAAAGAGCAAAATGATTGTATTACTACTGTGATGATAAATATGTCCCATGCCATCGTTGCAAGGAGCATGCCCTTCAGATTCTATTATGTTAGAAGGAGGACACAGAGAGTGAAGAATCAGAGGAGGACATGGTGGAGGAAAAGCATCTACATTTGGATGTGGCAAAGGTGTTCCTCAATTCGGTGGTGGGATTTACCCCGAATCACACAATGAAGGCAAGGGGATGGATCAGGGAACAACTGGTTGTGTTATTGGTAGATAGCAAGGTCACACATAGCTTTATCTCAAATCATATCGTGGAGAAACTAGGGTTGGAGCTGGTGACTACAAGAAGCTTTGGTTTCATGATGGGGACAAGGAAGGCTGAGAAAATTCATGGGAATTTTCATGGAGTTGGTGACGCTACATGGTTTACATGTGGTGGAGGACTTCCTACCCTTAGATTTGGTTAATTCATATGTGATTTTGGGGATGAAGTGGTTGTGAATGCTTGGGGAGATGAAGGTGGATTGGAAGCCCCTAGCGAGGGAATTCCAAGTGGAGGGTAGGAAGCTGATGCTAGTCTGTTCAATACTATGACGTCGCTTAGAACCATGGTCAAGTCGATTAGAGGAACAGGGTTGGGCTACTTGATGGAGTTACACAACATCGAGGTGTTTCAAGATTTAGACTTTGGGTAGTTTCTACAATAGTTCATAGACGTGTTCCAACAACCAAGAGGGTTAACTCCCCTAAGGGAGAATGCACACTATTTACATTAAATAAGGGTATTTCCTCTATCAGTGTCAGACCATGCAGGTATCACCAGATTCAGAAGGATGAGATAGAGAAGCTTATTCGAGAGAAGCTTGAGGCTGAGATCATCAAACCTAGCGTGAATCCTTTCTTCCATTCAGTCATATTATTGAGGTAAAATGATGGCAGTTGGAGAGTTTGCGTGGATTGTCGGGCTTTGAACATGGAGACAATATTGGACATGTTTCCTATTTCTGTGATTAACGAGTTACTAGATGAGCTTTAGGGTGTAGTCATTTTCTGAAAAATTGATTTTTAGACGAGATGCCACTATATAAGAATGAATTCAACGAATGTGAACAATATAGCGTTCAGGACACATGAAGGACATTATGAGTTCTTAGTTATGTCGTTTGGCCTCACCAATGCCCCGACGACATTTCCCAATCCCACATGATTAAGATTTTTCAACCTTGCCTCCAGAAATTTGTCTTGGTTTTCCTTAATGACATTCCGATCTACAGTCGTGCAGAGATAGAGCATGTTGAGCACCTAAGGACAGTCCCAGAGATATTGAAAAATCACCAGTTGTATGTCAAATTGAAGAAATGTTCTTATGCATAATTGTTGGTGAAGTAACTAGGACATGTGGTGACCAAAATAGGGGTGGTAGTGGATCAATCCAAGATTGGGGCTATGGTTGATTGACCCTTACCAAGTAGTTTAAAGGAGTTAAGAGGATTCTTGAGTCTTACCAGCTACTACCGAAAGTTTTTGAGAGAATATGGCAAGATAGCATGACAACTAATAGAGAAATTGAAGAAAGATAATTTCAAATGAAGGGAAGCAACAACACGGACATGACATTCGCAGAGGGCCATGAACATCGTCCCATTATTAGCCCTTTCAAATTTTAGTAAACCATTTGTGGTGGAAATGAATGCTTCAGCCTACGGATTGAGAGCAGTGCTCATGTAGGATTAATGACCGATTTTCTACTTCATCCAGGTTCTTACAGCCAAAGTGAGGTTGAAGTCATTAAGTAAGCGAGAATTGATGGTGATTGTCTTTGTCATTCATAAGTGGTCGCCCTACCTGTTGGGATGACATTTTTTAGTCAAGACAGACATAAGAGTTTAAATTATCTTCTTGAACAGTGGATGGTGATTGAGAAGCATCAGAGATGGTTATCCAAGCTTCTAGGGTATGATTTTGATATTCAATAATGCCCAGAATTGGATAACAACAAAACTGACACACTATTGAGAAAGGTGGAGGAACCCTAATTGATGACCCTATCAATACACTTGGTCATAGATTGGGAAGCCTTGAGACAAGCGAGTGAACGAGTGAGGAGATGAAGAAGATAAGGATTGTGTTACTATAGGATCAGAACAATCAACTAGGATATACATTTACGGGGCAGCTGCTCCACTAGGGGCGATTCGTGCTACCCAAGACATCAAAGTATGTTCTCAGATTATTACAACATTTTCATGAGAGTGCAATCCGGGGACACTCGGGGGTGTAGAAGACCATTTGGGTTTTAGGATTGTGAATGATTGTGGGTGATAGTGAGTGTAGTGCATAGAGATTTCGATGATATGGTAACAATTACGATGTATGTCAGCAATACAAGTACTTGACCACGACGCCATGAGGTCTACTTCAACCATTAACATTACTGAGAATGGTTTGGGAAGAAGTGAAGATGGATTTTATTGCGGAATTGCCACAATTAGAAGGGTTCAAAGTGATCATTATGGTCGTGGATTGCCTAAGTGAGTGCACATTTCATTCCCTTACGACATCTCTACATGGAGGTCTCAGCCGTGGCGGTTTTTGGCCGGGAGGTGGTTCGTTTGCACTGAATGTCGAAATCGATAGTATTAGATAGGAATAAGGCGTTACTCAACTACTTTTGGAAAGAGCTATTTAAATTACAAAGGATAATTCTTAAGAGAAGCACCACATATCACCCCCATATCGATAGACAGACAGAGGTGGACAACAGACGACATAACTGCGTTGTTTTTTATCTGATAAACAGAAGCTATGGGCCAAGTGTATTGTAAAGGACGAATATTGGTATAACACATCATACTAGACCACATCACATACCACCCCTTTCAAAATATTGTATGGTCGGGTTCCACCTCACTTGGTACATTATTGGCATGGAGCCACATCAGTA